AAATTATCTTTTAACGGTCGTACTGTATTCTCTCCAATTATGTGTCCTAAATATTTCACAGATTTGATGCAAATGTACATTTTTTAAATTTTAGTTTAAATCCTTCTTCAATTAATGCATTTAATACTTTTTCTATGTGTTTTACCTGCATCTCAAAAGTTTCTGAAAAAATTAAGATATCATCTATGTAGTTTTCTGTGAAATCTTTTAATCCATGCTTTCTTATTATATTTGACAAAATTCTTTGAAATATTGCTGGTGATGTTTTTAGACCAAATGGTAAGCATGTCCATTGATAGTGTCCATCTTGCGTAACAAAACCAGTTAATTTTCTATCTTCTAATCTGAGTGGTATAGACCAAAAAGCTGAATTTATATCTAATGTTGTGAAAAATTTACAGTTTCTAGCTTTTATAATTAAGTCATCAATTAATGGAAATGGTTGTTCTTGTGGTGTAATAATTTTATTCAATTCTCTAAAATCTATGCATAATCTTGTTTTTCCTTCATCTTTTTTATAAGCTAGTGTTACTGGTGCTGCAAATGGGCTGTACGAATCTTCAATTATATTTTTTTCTAACAGTTTTGCAGTCTGTTGCTCAATTTCTTTCCGATCTTCAATTGAACATCTGTATGGTCTTTTGCTGCAGTACTTATTTATTTTCAATTCAATGTTTGCCTCATAATTTTTTACCATTCCAATATCATACTTGTCTTTTGCAAACACCGTTTTATATTTTTCAATTAATTTTTCTATTCTATGTCTTTTTGAACTTTCCAAATGTTCTAATTTTGCTTCAAATTCATTGTCTTGCGTATATTCATTAAAATTAATTGAGACGTTTTCTGTGATATTATCTTTTTTTGTTTTTCTTTCTATCTTTTGTGAAATTTTCAAATTTTCATCTTGAACAAGCTTGAATTTTTCTATCATATCCAAACCTATTAAAAAGTCTTCGAAGTTTTCATTATTTATTACAAAAACATCTACTTCATCTTCAATATCAAAAATTTTTATTTTTAATTTTATTAATCCATTTGTATATGTCACATCATTAACTGTTCTTATTGATATTTTATTTAAATCTTACTTTTTACTCATGTCTGTTCATAGTGGATTTTAACTTATTATATGTTTCTGTTTTCTTTAATATAGTGTGTTGTGATATATTTTGAATTTCCGAAGGCAGAACAAACCTATTCCCATCCTCTGTTGTTATTGATGTCACTAGCATAGTGTTTGTTTTCGAATCTATTGGTGATGCCACAACCGAAAATTCAAACTGAAACTTGTTCATTTTGAAGACAAAATTGTCGTTTTATAAGACAACACGCTAGGATTGGAGTTTAAGAAGACTCTAAGTTTTGTAGCTAAAATTATAGTCGAGGTTTAATAATTAATTATTTACAAGTATTTACAAATGTTATCATTACTTTACCTAAAATTATAGAAACGACAATTAAAGTCTATTCTCAATCTATCTATCAATTACACTTTGTATATGTTTTAATAATGTTAATAAAGTTTAATAATGTTAATAATGTAGCTAAAGTTTTCCGTGGCAGTGATCTGAAGTATAAGGCCGTTTCATCTGCGTTGTACATTTGTTCCAACGAGTAGCCTCCTTCTACGATGCAATTCTTCATTTCACTTTTGAAGTCTTCTGCTCCAATACTATCAGCAGACAATTTTTCTCCTTGCATGGATAATTCTCTGATACCATAGCGCTTCTTGAAATTGTCGAGCCAACCGCTGCTCGCCTTGAAATCGCCTTCGAGTCCTTTCGCTTTGTGGAGCTCCAAAGCCTTTTCTTGGAGATAACTACCCGAGATTGGTATTCCAGCAGCACGTTCGTCCTCGAACCAAGAATATAGCGCTGTGTCACGGATGTTTTCTTCTGTACGAATTCTTTTACTATCTAATGGTTGCTTTGACTGCTCCAGCGCCAAGCTACGCTTCAATATATCTGATTTTGAAGATCTGGTATTTCTGATAGTTGAAGAATCGACGTTATAGAACTTTGCCAAATCATCCGTCGATTGTCCTTTCTCAAGCTTGGCGATGATGTCCAGTTTGTCTTTAATCGACAAGTTCACCTGGTGCTTCCTGATGATTGGGGATTCTAGGCCAGTCTGCTGCTGGCCGTCCATGTCCCTCATTCTCCCGATTGTCCTTGATGATACATTATATTCCGTAGCAAAACTGGCCATCGACTGCTTTTCAAACAGTTTCTGTTTAATATCGGAGATTTGCGCTGCTGTTAAAGACTTAGACATGGCAATCTGAAAAAGAAATTTTTGTAAATAAATAATACAATAAACAATAGTATACAGGGTGTCCAAAAAGTAACGATACACCTGAGAAATTTTCAAAGCCGGTTATTTTTTTAACCGGGTGAAGGTTGTTCTTGAAGTAACTTTTTACGAGGAATCCGATGGTAACCTTGGATTTGACCTTGAACCTCATTTTCAATGTTATTTTGAGGTCAACCTCATTTTTTTAAATGGAAACCCGCTATTTTTTATGGCGGAATCGGAAAGAGCGGAAAATTTTACGTCCAGATATGTATTGAGGTATGAGGTTGAGGTAACCCCTAGAGGTCAACTGGAGGTCAAAGTATGAATTCTTAAAAATCTCGCGAATTCAGTGGTTAAACAAAACAAACAAAAGGATAACCCCAGGTAACTTTCAACGATGCTCTTTAATTTGTCCTTGAACCTCATTTTCAAGGTTATTTTGAGGTCAACCTCATTTTTTTTAATGGATACCCCTATTTTTTATGGCGGAATCGAAAAAAGTGAAGACTCTCACGTATGGATGAGTTGAGGTTTGAGGTTAATGTGACCTCTAGGGGAAGATGAAGGTCGAACTGTGGCTTTGTAATAGTACCGGGATTTTAGTGGTACAAGGAAGCAACTAAAGGTCATGGAAACCCCCATTTTCGACAGCGGCAATCGAAAGAGCGGAAAATTTCACATCCAAATATCTACTTAGATCATAAGTCAAGGGCGAACTTAAAGTTTAAGGTCAGTCGAAGGTCATCCAAACTTAAAGACGCCCTAAAATTTTTTAAAGTTTTTTTCATAATGGAGAAGGGTATTTATTTAGTAATTGCCCATCGGAGATCCGTGACCTTGAATTTAACCTTCAACCTCATTATCAAGGTTTTTTCAAGATCAATTTTTTTTACTTTTAGCGTTACCCAGGAACAACGACGTGGACGTAGTAAAATCTGTCCCTTTGGGGTGCTTTATTTTCGTGAGTTCCCCTCGCCTCTCACGATCGGGGTGCTTGATTTTCGTGAGTTCCCCTCGCCTATCAACAATGATTTTTTATGCTTATTTTCTTAATAACTTGATTAGCCGGTTAAACTTTTTAAGGTTACTATCCCATACCTATTCATTGAAAATCCACTAACAATTTCACTTGGTTCTATCCTTAGGAAATGTACTATGTCTAACTTTATCGTTTTGAGCTTATTCTTCGGGACAATTGCATTTTCAAAAATTAATATTTAAAAAAGCAACATATTTGAAAAGATTTTTCCATTCGAAAATCTCCATAAAGCATTAGTGCATTAGTCGGACTGTAGTAGAACTTTATTGTAAAAGTACTCAAATTATAATTTTCATTTTTTGAAAACATTTATTTGGGTTGCAAACTTTTTGTTTTTAATTCTGATTGATTTTTGAGTAAATTTCGATTCGCTGACTTAAAATGGAACGCCTCACTGAACGAAAAAGAATATCACTTCTTATGATGAGAGGCTGGGGTGGAGTAGAAAGATCTTACAGGGCAGTGAGAAATCTTTTTAATGAGACATTTCGGGTTAATAGAACTCCAATTGCTGTGTCTACTGTTCAGAATATTATTTCAAGGTTTGTAAATTTTGGCCATGTCATAAATCTACCTAAGTCACGCAGACCACGCTCAGCAACAAATGAAGAGAATTTATTAAATGTTCTATTATAATTCACTGAAAATCCACATAATTCCATCCGCAGAGTTGCTCAAGAGCATGACATAAGTACATCGTCCGTACATATCATTTTAAAAACAGCAAAATTCCATCCGTTTAAAGTACACCTGGTTCACAAGTTGAATTCGATCGTCGTGTTGAGTTTTGTGAAGATATGATGGCACGCATAATTGAAAATCCAAATCTTCCATCAAACATAGTTTTCTCTGATGAAGCAACTTGTCAACTTAACGGAACATTAAATCGACATAATTGCAGGTACTGGGCTGCGAAAAATCCACACTGGATGCGAGAAGATAAATCGCAATATCCGCAGAAGTTGAATGTTTGGGCTGGAATAGTGAATAATCGAATCATAGGGCCATTCTTTATTGATGGTAACTTAAACGCTCAAAATTATGAAGAGATGCTTCGTAATCAAATAGTTCCAGCAATTAGAGAAATAGTCGGAGACAACTTCGAAAATACATGGTATCAGCAGGATGGTGCTGCAGCTCACTATGGACGAGACGTTCGAATTTACTTAGATGAGGTGATTGATAATCGCTGGATAGGAAGGAGAGGCACAATTGAATGGCCAGCTTGGTCCCCCGATTTGACGCTATTTCTTTAGATTATTTCTTTGGGGTTATTTAAAGGATCGGGTATACAAAACTAAACCCTAAAACTTGGACGAATTACGTCAAAGGATCATAGACGAATCAGCTCTCATTCCCACTGAAATGATCCAAAATGCTGTTGATGCTTTTTACCACGATTAGCTTACTGTCAAGAAGTGAACGGTGAACAATTCGACCACTTAAAATAAGATGTGCTGATGTAAGATAAATCATACGTGAGAGGCCAGGGGAACTCACGAAAATCAAGCACCCCGATCGTGAGAGGCGAGGGGAACTCACGAAAATCAAGCACCCCGATCGTGAGAGGCGAGGGGAACTCACGAAAATAAAGCACCCCAAGGGGACAGATTTTACTACGTCCACGTCGTTAAATTCCCGAGGTGACAAATCAGCTCCTGGTATGGATGGTATTAATTACGAAATTCTCCACAAACTACCAATAAAAATCCATTTAATACTACTCGACATACTCAATGAAATTTATTCCACCGACACATATCCCGATAGTTGGCTCCACACCTACATACACTTTACTGAAAAACCGAACGGAAAAGGCCTCCGCCCTTTAGCATTAACTTCTTGCATATGTAAGGTTTTTGAACTGATGATCTCATACAGAATCCGCTGGTGGGCCGAAACTCAAAACATCCTTCCCCCAACTCAAACCGGTTTTCGAAAAGGTTTGCCATGTTGCGACAACCTCACTTCCTTCAAATTAGACGTAGAAAACGCGTTAAACAACCAACAACACGTATTGGCAGTTTTCCTCGACGTCAGTAACGCGTTTAATGATGTTCATAGTGATATTTTATTGTCTATACTTGCAAATATCGGGTGCTCAGCAAAAATAATAAAACTAGTCAAATTCTTAACTTACCATAGATTCATATATACAGAAATCAACATTGACAACCCAAAAAATTCCTACAAAGGTCTTCCACAGGGCGGAGTTCTGAGCCCTCTTCTCTATATACTCTACGTACATGGTATACTTACGGACGTAGATATTAACATTCTTAGCTCACAGTTCGCAGACGACCTAGCTCTGTACATTAAAACTGAGAATCCAGACACAGCAATACCTTTATTAGAAAAAGAGCTTACCAAGATCATTAATAATTTGAGACTAAACGGTCTTGACATCTCTTTAGCAAAAACAAGTTATGTACACTTTAACAAACAAGGTTACCTCCCTGGTGAAACCGAGATCACTATTAACGATACAAGTTTGCCATCACAGAGTCACGTCAAATTCCTCGGATTGTTTTTTGACTATGAGCTAAATTTTGAAAGACATCTGAGACATGTACACGAAAAAACCAACCGAGCGTTAAACATTGTTAAATTTCTCAGAGGTGTGTGGTGGGGAGCTCATCCCAATACACTGATCACCTTCTATAAAAGTTATGTCAGGCCCATAATCGATTATGGTTCCTTTATCTATTACCCTACTCAAAAAACCAAAAAAGAAACACTAGAAAAGATTCAGTACTCGGCCATAAGAATGGCTCTGGGTTTGAGGATGAGCACTCCCACCAATATCCTCCTAGGCGAATCTAAGCTGACACTGCTAGAACACAGAACAAAGATTTTATGTACTAATTTTTTGCTCAAAAAGTTTAGCGTCACGCAATCTAATACTCGTTCTACCATAAACAAGTACAGCATGAGCATTATAAATAGCAGAAAGAAAAAAATCAACGTCCTAAATGAATGTATTAAACATGTAATCTGTATAGAACATCTAATCCATACATACAACCTCCCTAGTTTGTATAATTATGACTACGAAATCATGAAAATTCCACTGAACACTAACATTGACCTCGGGTACACATTAAGAAACAGCAACAATCCTAATGATGCTTTTAACAAAGAATTCTCAAACGTCCAATCCATTAAAATCTACACTGATGGAAGCAAAAATTCAGCAAGTAAGTCTGTTGGTTCTGCATGTGTATGCCCTGAACTTAATGTTATCAAAACTAAAAGCATTATTAACAAGGCATCTATCTTGACAGCTGAATGCATAGCTCTGTCGGATGCCTTGGACATTGCTCTTGAATACAGCGATCGCAACGTAGATATTTTCACCGACTCATTAAGTCTCGTACTGGCTCTGAATAGCCCGAAAAACAAAACTGACATCAATTTTCACGTCCTAGAAATCCGACATAAGTATCTAACGTTTCTAAAAAAATCATCGGGTGAATCGTCAATCACTATTTACTGGGTTCCCTCTCATGTAGGCATACTCGGCAATGAACTAGCAGACGAACACGCTAAACTCGCTACCAATTATGCTCCTACCGTAAAACATATACCATATAGCGATCACAAACAACACTTTAAAAAGTTCATAAGTAATCAAACACTAAATAGAATTCAAAACGAAGCTAAAATCAAAGTTAAAAAATTTTTTTCGAACTACTACCAAAACAGCCCTAAGCCTTGGTTCATTGATCCTTCTCTTGGTAGAGACCTTATAGTCTTTATATGCCGTTGCCGCAGTAATCACCACAGCCTCAAAGAATCTCTACATAGAATAAATGTTGTTAGTGATGCTATATGTGACTGCGAATGGGGGGTACAAGATTTGAACCATCTCATATGGCAATGTCCACTGTTTGACAACGAGCGAAAACACTTAATGAGAGACCTACGACGCGCTAAACAATACCCTCCGCTTGATATTAGTTCCTTTCTAGTCAAACCGAATATTCATGTTATGCAATTAGTGCTTAAATTTCTCACAAAATGTAACGTTAAAATCTAAGGTAAAATCACATGGTTTACACATTAAATAATTCATACATATGTATTCACAAACTTTATATATATATTTATCTCTATTTACTTAAGTAACGAGCTAAATAACTTTGTAATTGGAAGTTAATAAAGCTACAAATTAAAAAAAAAAAAAAAAAAACTTCGAAAATACATGATATCAGCAGGATGGTACTGCAGCTCACTATGGACGAGACGTTCGAATTTACTTAGATGAGGTGTTTGATAATCGGTGGATAGGAAGGAGAGGCACAATTGAATGGCCAGCTTGGTCCCCCGATTTGACGCCTTTAGATTATTTCTTTGGGGTTATCTAAAGGATCGGGTATACAAAACTAAACCCCAAAACTTGGACGAATTACGTCAAAGGATCATAGACGAATCAGCTCTCATTCCCACTGAAATGATCCAAAATGCTGTTGATGCTTTTTACCACGATTAGCTTACTGTCAAGAAGTGAACGGTGAACAATTCGACCACTTAAAATAAGATGTGCTGATGTAAGATAAATCATACGTGAGAGGCCAGGGGAACTCACGAAAATCAAGCATTCCGATCGTGAGAGGCGAGGGGAACTCACGAAAATCAAGCACCCCGATCGTGAGAGGCGAGGGGAACTCACGAAAATAAAGCACCCCAAGGGGACAGATTTTACTACGTCCACGTCGTTGTTCCTGGGTAACGCTAAAAGTAAAAAAAATTGATCTTGAAAAAACCTTGATAATGAGGTTGACGGTTAAATTCAAGGTTACGGATCTCCGATGGGCAATTACTAAATAAATACCCTTCTCCATTATGAAAAAAACTTTAAAAAATTTTAGGGCGTCTTTAAGTTTGGATGACCTTCGACTGACCTTAAACTTTAAGTTCGCCCTTGACTTATGATCTAAGTAGATATTTGTATGTGAAATTTTCCGCTCTTTCGATTTCCGCTGTCGAAAATGGGGGTTTCCATGACCTTTATTTGCTTCCTTATACCACTAAAATCCCGGTACTATTACAAAGCCACAGTTTGACCTTCATCTGACCCCTAGAGGTTACATTAACCTCAAACCTCAACTCATCCATACGTGAGAGTCTTCACTTTTTTCGATTCCGCCATAAAAAATAGGGGTACCCATTAAAAAAAATGAGGTTGACTTCAAAATAACCTTGAAAATGAGGTTCAAGGACAAATTAAAGAGCATCGTTGAAAGTTACCTGGGGTTATCCTTTTGTTTGTTTTGTTTAACCACTGAATTCGCGAGATTTTTAAGAATTCATACTTTGACCTCCAGTTGACCTCTAGGGGTTACCTCAACCTCATACCTCAATACATATCTGGACGTAAAATTTTCCGCTCTTTCCGATTCCGCCATAAAAAATAGCGGGTTTCCATTTAAAAAAATGAGGTTGACCTCAAAATAACATTGAAAATGAGGTTCAAGGTCAAATCCAAGGTTACCATCGGATTCCTCGTAAAAAGTTACTTCAAGAACAACCTTCACCCGGTTAAAAAAATAACCGGCTTCGAAAATTTCTCAGGTGTATCGTTACTTTTTGGACACCCTGTATATAAATGAAACATAATTCGTCATTTATTGTACATATAATAAAAAAATAAAATATACGTATTTTTTCTTTTGTAGTTTTCAATGGTTTATAAAAAAATTATTTAAAGAATTTAGTGAAAAATTTTTGATTTTCAAAAAATAAAAGCATCAATCGAACTTATGAAAAAATCAAGGCGAAAATATCTATGATGTTTTTACGTCAGATTTTGATTTATTGTCATAATTTTTTTCCATAGAATTATTGGCATAATTAATTGTCGAAAATCACAATAATTTTAATAAATTTCAATTGCTTATAAATATTGTACACTGACAAAAAATCGTCATAGTGATTTTCGTCTTGGATTTTGAATAGAATCGATTGGTGGTTTCAATTATTCATGAATGAAAATTTTCATTTTAAATAATTTTTTTCAAACAATTGAAAGTTCCAAAGTAGAAAAAATACATATGATTTATTTTTAATTATATGATGATAATCGTAATTAATTTGTCGCTACATCATCCATTTTCTGCATGGGCCTTAAAGGATATATACATATGTATAAACAATTTATATTTGAATTTTTCTACTGCAAATAAACTGCATAAAAATTATAAATCTATCAAATACTTGTTTTTACAAGTTTTTTAATAAGTGTAGAAAGATTCTTAAATTTTGATTTATTTTAAATTGTTAATTAAAATTTAATTATAACTTTGTTTTGATAAACAAATTAATTAGCAGATATATAAAATATGTACTTTACGGGCTAATACAATATAAATATCAAATTAAAAATACATTCCTGCGTTATTTTGTGGAAGAAAATTATAAAATTGTTAAAACGTAATACACTTACCGTTCAAATATTCACTGCAAAAAAGTCACTTCTAAAACGTTAATCAACGTGTACAAATCTATAAATATATACTTATATATGTATATATATATAGTGTATATAACTGTATACAACAAACTGACTGACTATGTAAATATAATCAACAGGAAACTAAGCAATGCTTCGAGACAAATATTTCTATGACACAAACAAACCTACGACTGGATAGATTCGAAAGTCAAAATAGACTGAAGTCAGAAATGCAACACATCTTAGTTCTAGAAGTAAGAGAGGGCAGGTGAGGCCTGCAGGTGAGGCCGTAAAAGAAAGAGAGGGGTTCATAAGTTTAAAATCGGATTATCTGCATCCATAAAACTAAAAGTTTAAAGTCGGATTATGTATGTGTATCCATAAAACTAAAAGTTTGAAGTCGGATTATACATACATATTCGGAAATCTATTGAAATTATAAAGAGGGAAGAATAAGCCTTCCAATAAGACCGTAAGAAAAAGAGAGATCCCCTGGTACGCAAGGGGCAGTGTACGGCCCTGCCCCTTGAGAAGTACCGCGGCGCAGCCAGCGAGAAGTGCAGGGGCGCAAGAAGTGCCGCAACGAGAAGTGCCGGGGGTTCGACTGTAATTTGAAGCACTATCTCACCAATAAGGGTGATTGCAATCATAACGCTCTCAGGAAGCTTGATTATGATCCGCTTAGCAAAAACATAGATGATACACATAGTGCACCATATGGCCAGCCGCGAGGCTGGCCCGGTCACTTTGTGCAAAAATCTTTTTGTCAAGGCGGCGGATAATTATTGTCTTCCTCAACAGAGAATAGAGACTCCTCAAACAAACAACTCGTTGTTTTAGGAGAGGACGTCGAAAACTTCTCTTTTCTGTACGGGCATACGCAAATGCAAATGCTGATGTACAAAATGCGTCACCGTTGCCCTCGACAAGCAGCAAATGCTAGTCGACCCGAAGTGAATGCAATGTATATTTGAAAGAAGACTTGCAATCACAAGTGCGGATATGTGTACCTTCACGTGGAGGGGCTGAAAACGCTGCCTCTGTAAAGAGACAGTAGGAAAAACACACAACGTTTGCCCCTAGGGCAATCGGCCAACTGGCCAAACAAATCATTAACAACACGGACCATGATAACACGTGGTGAGGTGCGGCCTGTAAACGCCCAAACATTCAACGCGGAGTCTACCACACCCCAAGAGCTCAACTCGAGCCCAGAAAAGCCAAAATCCGGGAGTCACTTGAGGGGAAATCTCTTAGGATTGTGGTACCGCGCGCCCTTTTAGAGGACGGGAGACTGCTCCGGGAGCTAGTTGCAGAGGAGCAATGGTCCCGGCAATCCGAATTTAATTCGGGTAGATAAGAAATTACTTCCTATCGACTGTCAATCGGTAGGTGCCACTACTGTGGGTAAAAAGTCGCGGCCGTGGTCATAGCAGCCACCCAAAGTTCTTTGCCTCGAGCTCCGGGAGTAAGGCCCGACAACATTGTACGAGAGAACAGTCCATTGGGCCGAGTAACTCTCGATGACTAGAACGCACTACGGATGCCGAAACCCTTAGGAAAAATATTTCCACGGAAGGACAGCATTCTTCCTGCTAAGGAATTGCTTAAGCCCTAATAGCTAAAACAGTTTTACATTTGAAAGCGAAATTAGTGGCTGTCAGCTCCCTTTGAAAGCGAAAACCATGCACTAAATGTCCATCAGATCCAGTGCTGCTAATGGCGAACATAGACTAAGATGATAGAAAAGGCGGAAACCCGACATGCTCACTCAAATGCTACTTTGATTGCAATTCGTCAAACACCTAACCCTGACTTGACCAAAATGAGGTTTGATTAATATCAATCCCAGCGTGAAAGATAAACACGCTGGTACACTCGTAAATAGTTTTAAGTTATATTATAATTAAATTAGTTCTTAAGCAGTTAACAATAATTTAAGCAGTAATATAATCAGTAGTGTAGTAGATAGTATTAAGAAAGTTACCAATCAAAGATCAATAAAATTGAAAATAAGAAAGATTAAAGATTAAAGATTACAAATTAAAACTATAGATTTAAAATTACTAAACCAAACCAAAAGAAATAAAAGAAATAAAATAAAATCAAAACAATTAATCTACTAACAGATTTAAAAGCTAGAAAAATAACTAGCTTAATCAATTGTAAATAAAAGAGCCATGGGAAACCATGGAGAAACTCGACAAGGTAACTAACGAAGCTCATGTCAAGACACACACACAAGTACTCACTGCTCGCACTCGAACGCCACTCACTTAATTGAACGCGCACGTTAACGCCAGACCTAAAATTGAAAGCCACCATCCAGAATCGCCAGCAGCGATTCCAAAGGAGGAAATATATAACTAGACATTGCGTTGTACCTTGAAAGCGATATGGTCAACCATTCTAGGCGACCGTTGAGAAACCAGAGCACTGCTCCAATACTCCGGCGTCAACTCAGTTTCCTTCGCAACCAAACAATCTTGACGAAAGCAAAGACGATTGCCCACCAGTTAAGAGGTTTAAATTGAACGCACAACAAAACCCTGAACTGGGCCCGAAACTGAGGATCATACAATTGA